TTTTACTACTGGCCAAAGTTGCAAAAGAAATACAATCTACATGTTCCACACAATATACTGTTAAACGAGCTAACGCTTTTTCTGCGCTGTTAACTGTTTTATAACAGTAGGCAGCAACACTTAGCTGTGTAATTTTTTTCTTTTCTGAAACAATTTTGTTTGGAAAAATTTTATTTTTGTGCTCTAAATGATATATAAAACTTAAAATTGATGAATGGAATTTAAATTCAACTGAATGTAATTTGTATGCTGATTTTGCTTTGTTTTCATTATTGAAATTGGATTAGCTTTGTTAGCATTATTGGAACTACAAAAACAACTTAAAAAAAAGAATCTCCTTCCACACATCCAATTATTATTCAAAATCTTTTTGAAGATAATTTGACTGAAAAAGATCAAATAACAAACTTGATGTTTCAATTCTACAGTTACATATCAATTAAATTATATGATAATCGATGAAACAAGCAATAACTAAATTTAATAGTTTTAATAATAAAATGTTTTAATTAAAAGTTTTTAATTTTACAAGGAATTTTTAATACTTAAAAATCAACAATTTCTTTCATTTAAATAATTTCAAGAGGGCAAATTCCCATCTGGCTGTGGCAACCTTAATTTAAGCCTTGATGGTGTTTCAATTGCATCAACTTTTAAGATTAAGATGACAACAATTTCAAATTTAGTATAATTCTTTAAAGTGACGTTAATCCCATAAGTCACTTTTAACAATTTTGAGTACTAGAATATTAGTATTTTGCATAATAAAATGTAAACATTTTCTAACATTGGCCTCAAAAATAATACAAAAAATTTTTTATTATCATGTGACTTATTGATAAATACTTTTTGATATTATTTTTTAGGTCAAAATTAAATGTTTATATTTTGTTATTTAAAATACTAATATACTAGTACTCAAAATTGTTAAAAGTGACTTATGGGATTAAAGTTTAACACTTTAAACCAGATAATTAAAAAAATTAGTTTGTGGTATCACTGATAAAGCCAATAAGAAATTATTTGCCTCCACGGTGGTAAAAGCAAATAATCAGTGGCCAGCAGGCCAATAACTATTGAGAACTTCCAACAAAGCTGTTGTATGAGCAGTAAAAGCACAGTTGTATGAACAACTAAAATAACAGTTACATTATGAATTAGAATCTTTTTACAAGTAAAAGGATTCAAAATCATGAGTCACACAAAATATTATTTTATTGTAGGTGAGCTAATAAGTGATAACTTGCAGTGTTTTATGCAAGGATGTGTCTTTGAATGTTATAATAGAACCACTAAATCCCAAACTTTGATAGGAGAGATCACATTCAAGATGTGATGCTTGTTTTAAGCAATCAAAAAGCAATGATTTTTATTTAAGACTGGAGTATAAGTTGTGTTTTCAAGTATAACTAATTTTGAAGTAAGATTATAAGAAAGATCAATAATATACACAAGAAACAACAGAAAATTAAGAATGTAACCTTGTGGTAAACTTAATAAATTGTCAAAGATAAAGTTTAAGACTCAGATGATATAAAAGAAATTTGTTACTTATAAACCTAAAGACTATGATAAAAGGAATATAGTATGAATTATAAGGAATGGTAGTAGTAAAACAATGATAATAATTGTAAGAAGATTAAAGAAAGAAATTGCGAAGTCAGAGCAATCTTCAGAGTCTTTACAAATTTGAAACAAAAAATGTCATTTTTTAATTAGCAATAAACTTAGATTCAGTTAAATATTTGTTAAATATTTTAGAAAGTGCTGAAGAGAGCTCTGTAGAAAATATATATTTTGTAAGGCTGTGACTAGAATGTTATCAGAGCCAGAAAGCTCTATAAGAGTTTATCAGAGAAAAAATTTAAGCTACAGATGTCAGGGTTATTTGGTCGTCTAACAATCGAACTATTTGTTACTTTGAGATGACAGGAAAAGTGTGATCATTACACTTAAGAAATGAATTATAGAAAAAATTTTTGCAATTACTTTCGCCTTATCCTTGGAGATGTAATGAGATCAGACCTATGCTTAAATGAAGCAATGTTAAACTGAATTTATTAATGACACTGTTAAAGATATTTCAAAAGACTTCGGAACCTTATCTATTCTAATTTAAAATACAAAATTTAGTAATATGCAAATATATCTTAGCATTAGGCAATATCTTTTTGCTCCAAATTTTTGAAATAGTAAATAGATTTTGTTTTTAATAGAGTTGTTCTAATGTAAAAGATAACAGTAACATATACAATTAGAAGTATCGGCTGGAAAAGAAAAAGAAACCCATTGACTTAAAACACGAAAAAAAAAAAAGAAGTTATATAAAAGCTTTCTTAAATTTAAGATGTACAATTTTTGTGATAACTTTATGCTTTTTCCTTGATATTCTTTTCAATATTCATATTGAACTAAATTGACTTCATAATGAAAGACAATTATTAAAAAGATTTACTCAAAAAATATGAAAAAATGCAAATGGCTAAAAAAGAAAATTGTAGAAATTTTGATTTGAATAATATGAATAGTCAACCAATAGTTTGTTTCTTAGTAACAACCAATATAATAAACTATTTTAATATAAAAAAATAAATACTTCTGGTTGTTTACATATTGGTGAATATGTAACAATTCATAGAGAAACAAGAAAAGAATATGTAATACTTTTCAATTTTTTTTGGTAGTAAAAATACTAATTTTTTATTTTAGTGATAAATACTGGAAGGATGCTCGTGGCTTAGCATATTTAGGAGGAATATGCTCATATAAATCAGTATACTTTGCTCAAGTAAGCCTTTAAACAACTTTTTTAATTTAAAATTCTGCTAAATAAAATCTTTAAATTAATCTTTTACCATAGTGGTAAAAAACAATAATAATGTATATATAAAAACATATATATTATGTACATATAAAAACATATAGATAATATACAGGGCTCAAATTAACGCAAAAAAATCTAATCGCGAAAAAAAAAAGGAATATGCTCAGAAAGAAAAATAGTAAATAAACAGCTGAAAAAGTAAACCAATTGTGAAAATATATGTTTTAAGAAAAAACTAATCGTGAAGGTGTAAAAAGCAATAGCGATCGCGATACACTAATTCGAGCCCTGATATATATATATATATATATTTAAACATCTGTATAACTTATATATAGAAGCATCTATATAAAATATATATAAAAACATCTGTAATATGTATATATATTACATAGTGGTACTATGAAAGCATAAGCGAAACAACTATTTTAATTGGTCATGAATTTGGGCATACTATGGGATTTGAACATGATAGAGAACGTAAGTGATTTTTGGCTATGTAGCATTAATACAATTATTTATTATACTGCTATAAAAGTGGTTTTGGTGAAATTGAAAGTGAATAAAATAAATTACTGCAATACAAGTTTAGTTTACTAATTAATAAAAACAAATCTAGAAGTGTTATTTTGTAAATCTGCATATTGTGGAATGTCTATTTTGTTTCAACTTTTTTTGTTTTTTAATATTAAATAAATAAACTTATTATTATATTTTTATTGTCCATTTAACATAAATTAATTTCTTTCTTTACATTTGTTTAAATGAATTTTAAAAGTTAATTTTTTTTTTAAGTATTTCTTAAAATTGCGGCTTTGCTAATAATAATTTTTTACTTTAAAAAAGTAAAAAAACAAAAATAAAAAATTTTGCAAACAAAAAGTATTACTTGTTGAAAAAATTATAAATACATACTCATGTTCATTACTTTACCAGCGCTTTTTTGTTGTGACAAGCAAAAATTTAAGTTTCCAAGTATCAATTATAAAAAAATATATACTGTTGCGCTTTGACTTGCCTCGCAACAAAAATATAAACGCTTTATAGATATTTTTTTATGTAGTGTTATAACATGTTTATAAGGAATTTAAATAACTTTTTTAATCAAAATTTTTTTCTAAATTTAAGGAAATTTCTGTTGTTACTATTTTGATATTACACAATCTGTTAATTATATAAAGCTGATGTAACTATTAATAAATTTTATTTTTTTAAACTATTATTTTTCTTTTAAATAATAATGAAGACATTGTAAGAGTTATATTTCTTCAAGCGTAAATACTTGTAATAATTTAAAAAAAAACTTTCATAGAAATAACTCTATTATTAATTTTTCAATATAATATATATATTGAGTCTAGATTCACTTGATATATTGTACCCACATTATTAAATATTTATACTTGATAATGTTATCAACTATATTTATTCTTGATAAGAAGGATATCTAAACTCCCTCGAAATATTATTTTGAAAATTAATAATAGAGTTATATTTATAGGAGAAGTTTTTTATTTAATTACAAAAAAAAAGAACTTATTATAAGATGTCATTTAAAGTTTTTAATAGTTAATGTTCTTTTATTTTTGATAAAATCAATTATTATAAAAAAACAAAAAAAAATTAAAATATCTGAAGTGACACTATTAATATAATAAAATTGAACGTTAATTTTTTACTAATATATTTTTGTTTTGTTTTTTATTTTTTTTTAAGTGGTGTACACTTTTTTATCTATATAGAACTTGAAATATTCTGACTAGCTCACAAAAACTCTCTTTTTTATAAAATTAGAAAAATTGTCAAAAAATCTCTTAATTCTGCTAACTGGAACCATTGTTGCAGCTCTATTAATAGATTAAGGGGTACGAAGAACTATTCCAGGATTTATTACAAGCATTGATCTTATCCAATATTCCCTTGGAAGTCTGAACTTGGGAGATCTGAAGATTTTTAAGTTTCCGAACGTCTGAAGCAGCCTTAATTAAATCATTATTTGTTTTAGGATCGTTTAAATTAGATGACATAAAAGCCCTTCAACCAATTGTTCTTCTTCAGTTAACACATTTTTTGGACCAGTTTTCTTCAGAGTTTCTCTATTTTGTTTGCAAATGTTAACTATTTATTTGTTCTGGTATTTCATACTTTTTGGAGGAAGCATAAACTGATAAGGATTTTTTGGAAATCTTTTCCAAGGCCTCCTGGATAGAAACAGTCTCATATTTTTTATATTTTTGAGATTTTTGCTTCTTGTTGCTTTTTCTTTTTCAAAAGTATTTCAATTATCCATGTTTACATTATAAATCACATAAATTTTTTTATTTAATCTAAAAAGAGGCAAATTGTGAAATTTAATTACATAGTTAAAGTTATGTAGACAATATGTGTTTAGTTTTTGCTTATAATGGTTTTGTTAGAATGGTTTTGTGATAACTGAAAAGGTTTTACACATTTTTACAGGTTTTGTGAGCTAGTTCTCTATAGCTTTTTTTTTCATAAAAAAGTGTATCCCGCCTAAAAACACACACAGCAAAAAATAAATCTTTTACCTTTAGTTTTTATTGGTAGAATAAAAACTAAAGATAAAAAAATTTTTACCTTTAGTTTTTCTTTGTTTTAATAAATAATTATATTTAGTTAGTAATATTTTCAGGGATTATCTTATTCTGGATATTTCTGGAATTCTGGATAATTTTCTCAACTTTTCATTTTTCTAGACATCCAAAATGTTTTCCATACATACAGGTTTTGGTGCATATTTTTGTAATACATTTGTTTTTTAAGCATTTTCACTTGGCACTCATATAAAAATTAAGAAAAATTAAAAAAAAAATATTTCTTGTATTCTTCTGAATACAAGAAATATTCTGAAGTAAAAACATCTTAGTCAACTGCGAAAAGAAGTTTATGTCTTTTACGTCAAAGAGTATTTACACTGAATTAAACAAGATAGGAGTAAAGTGTTGTGGAGTGATAAAAGTAAATATATATTTTTTTCATCTGATGGTATTAAGTATGTTAGATGTCCAAAAAAAAAGAGAAGACCCCCTGGTACACGTAACCAACCGTAAAACACGAATGTGATAGTGTCATGGTGCAGGAATGTTTTTCCCATGGTTGTATAGATCCATTTGTTCAAATTGAGGGTATCATGGATGCCAAATTAGGGTTCGGACTGTCTGCTTGATATGCGCAGACAGTGTCATTTGTCTGTATAGACATCTTGCAGATGTCGGCGCTGACAAAATTTACTGCTTTGCAGATAGTTTTTTGAAATCAACAAAAAAATGTTTTAAACTTAGAAAACGTTTTAAGTAATATTTTAACTTTATTATAAATTCAGTGATTAGTAACAATAAGAGTTTTCAAAGATTCTTACAGTAATAAAAAAATATAATGCTGGCCCCTATTCGGTGATTTCTTGACATTCAATTTCATTGAGAATTGCACCTTCTTCAAGAATGTAATCAGTCTTATCATTTGTGTCTATCAACATGCTATTGGTATACAAGAATACCAGCTTTTAAATTCTCTCATTTGTAAGACAAATTTTTAGTTGCATGTGAATAAATTGAATAGTCGACAAGCTCTTTCTGCTGTAGCCAATGAGCATATCATTTCGTTAATAGGCTAAGCAATTTCGTAAAGAGCAGGATATTTATCGCGACTGATAATGTTCCAATAATTTTGCTTGTTCATCTTGAATATTGTTTCCTTTCTTCTCTGGTAGTGCATCCATTTCTCCTATAAAAGCAATCAATTCATTCTCAGCAGTGTCAGCAATTTCAGGTTTGATCTTTTTGGCGAATTCAACTGTAGCAGTGATAAAATCGGTTTTTTCTTCATTCAAATACAAACCTTCTGCAGCATTTTTGGGCGGTAATATGAAAGCAATTCCAATAACTGGTGTAAAGAGAAAATTAAGGCTAGATTGCACTTTTTGTTGTATGTTGTTATCGTCCATATCATCTCAGTTGTAGAAACTATGTTCTTCACAAGCAAGTTGACTTAATGAACTCCGCATCCGCTAGCCGAGATGTTTGGATATTTCTCCTCGATGATCCTCCACACTGATTTTATAATGGGAGCGTTGTCGCTTATGAAACTGGTAAATTTTTGTGAGCCAATCTTCTCAATAACTTGTTTGGGCATGTTGATATTTTATGCGCTTCAAGGCATTCTTTCGACCATTAAACAGTTTTGTTACATGCTAAACAAGTGCCAGAACGCTTCTCTCAATCAAGATTTGTCAAATAATTCAAAATTTTGATGTTTTCCATTTTGAACATTATGATTGACGAAAATACAGATTTTTTGTTTCTAAATCACTTTAAATTGTAGTAAGAAACACTTATAAAAGTTTATGTTGATTGATTATATGTAGCTTGAACCAAAAAGAAACAATTAAGTAATGAAAAACTTGTAAAAAGTAGATAATTATGCAAAAATAATTTTAGACATTTGATTCAGATAATTTATATTTTTCGTTTCCGTTAAAGTGTCTACGCAGACGTTGGCGCCGACGTCTGCGCATGTATATATTTTGTCTGCCCAGACACACTTTTATGCTGATTTGATGAAAATTTCTAGCAGGATAATGACCCTAAACACACTTTAAAGGCTGCTAAAAATTGGTTTACATTTAATAATGTTTGTGTTATGGACTGACCTAGCCAAAGTCCTGAAGTTTTCAGCTTTACACGATAAATGAGAAAATGTTCCTATAGACAAACTAATTAAGCTTGTCAATTCAATGCCTCAAAGATATAAAGTAATAGACTAAAAATAATTTGCTTAAATAAAATTATTATTTCTGCTTTTAGACAAAGCCGATGCCAATATATACACTATTAGTTTTTTCACTTGAATTGAGCGCTTATTTTTAAAAAAAAAATTTGATGCTCTTTTTTACAACAACAAAGTCTTAATATCGAAATTATTGAAATCTTATTTGTTACAGGTGCCTAAAAACTATTGGTATTTTGAAAAAAAAAGTATCGCGTAAAATATCGCGTAAAGTATCGCGTTGTAATTTAATTAAATTTTATAAGCATTTAAATCGTTTAATTAATATATCAAAAGTTATTGATTATCTTATACTTTTTATAATCTTTTGTTTATTTTTTTTAACTTTTACGTATTTAATTTAATACTTTAATTAAACTTAAAAACAATTTATAGATAGATTTTATCAGTTACCAATAAAATATTTTTAAATGTAATTTATGTTCATAAATGTATTACATCAAAAGAACTTTACACGATTTTGAATTGATAAGAAACATAAAAATTTAAATAGATCTTTAAACCAATACACTTTTTGCTTTTAATATATAAAAATAAGTTAACTTTTCCAGACAACCCAAATCACTTATCTTTTTTCCTTGGTTTGTGTTTTTTCTTTTTACTCTTACATTGTGCTCAGTTTCTCTTTGTTCTTCTTTTTAGTTTTTTTTTGGTGGTTCAGATCATGTTATGAACTAAAATTTTAATTTAGTATTTCTAAATCACTATCACCATATAATTTACTGTTACCATAAAACTTACTGATGTTTTTGTGGTTTTCTTCATGACTGCTACTATAAAACTTACTGATTGTTTTTGTGGTTTTCTTTATGACAGTCTAAAGACTGTTGTATTTTGTCTCTTCTAAAAATTAGAAGACAGTCAATTAGAAACTCCTGAATTCAGACAAGTATTGAAGTTTTTATTACTGCTTGTTAGTTTTTAGTCAAGTCCAACTTTACCCAATGGTTTTCTTGTACAGCTCTTGATTCTATTGTAATTATTTTTTTCATCTTTTATAGAATAAAAATGTTTTTATTATTTTGAGATACTGATGCAAAAATCACTCTTGTGCTCTTTTGCATCAGTGCTCAAAATCAAATTCAAATTCAAAATTCAATTCAAAATCAAACTCAAATTAGTGCTCAACCCTCAGAAGTAAAAAAATCATCACAGTACTAAAAAAAAGAAATCAGAAAAATGTATATCAGGCATTAAAAATTTAAAAAATCTTGTAAATTTCAATTTGTAAAGTTTAGATTTTTGTTTATTTCTCACCATAGTATCAAACTTATATAGCCATATCTGTAAAATATTCCTACCCACCTTTTTATTAAAACCCCTCATTTATTAAATCTGTACTAAAATCTACCCCCCCCCCCTCCAGGGCACAACAAATTGTTTTTTTAATAAACGTTGATGTTTGTTTTTTTATTTATTGACAAACGTCTAATTTAAGAGGTATGACAAATATGCACCACCACCTGCCCTTGCGTGCATCTGCCTCCCCCCTTCTCCCTTCCCCCCCTCCACCTTTCTCCCTCCCCACACACACACTTTTTTTTTTAAGTTTTTTTTTTTTTTTAATATAAGAGAAAGTCTAGATAAGAGGACTTTTTTCATTAATAGATGGTTGCGCACCTCCACTTCGAACCCGTGTGTTGGTCAGAATAAGACAGTTTCATTTTCAATTCTTTCAATTTTTTTTTTTTTAATTTAAATAATTTTTTATTAAATTATAAGGGATTTTTATTTTCAAAAAACTTTTATTCTAGTTAATAAGATATATAATAATTAGATATATCAAAGATATGTTTTGAATTTTATCAATTTTTTTATTAATTGAATCAATGTATATAAAAACGTTTTAAGTCATTTTTTTTAATATTTGACTTTTTGATGAAAATTTGTTCTTTTAAGACAGTTCCACCATTGAATAGTAAAACATTCCAAGTCAGACCTTTCTGTACATGTTGATTAGAGAGCTGGAAGATTTTTTTTTAATTTATTGAAGTAATAATTTTGGATTTAATACGTTTTTTCTTGTTTCCCAAAAAAATAGTTTTTGTGACTTTTTTCACGCATTTGCAAAGTGTGCACAAATTAATGATAACTAATATGCAATAACCTTTTGACTGTAAACTGTTATCTATTAATACAAAATAGTGAATTTTTCTCAATTTAGTTTGTTAAATTATAAAAAAAGTTATAAACTTGATGAAATTTAAATAAAAAGGAGCTAAAAATAAAATAAAAGTTATTTTGATATTTCTTTTTTAAAATATTTAAAAATTATAATATAGTATTAAGCATTTAATAAGTTATTAAATTTATAATTTAATAAGTTATTATTAAATACCTGATATGCTATTATTATATTTATAATATTAAGTAGTTAATAAAAAAATATCATATTATTGGTTCTTGTTGAACCTATATAAATGAAAACTATAATCAACATAATAGTTCTATAAATTCTATTGAATTATATATATTTCTGCAAAAACTTTAAAAACAGCTAGTAAACGTTACTTTAATTTAATAATAATAAGAAAATTAAAAAAAAACACGCTTTTGAAAAAAGAATGTTTTAGCATGGTTCCGTTCAAAGTAATTGCAAATTCATTTCTTTTAACTTAAATTTGCCATTCTTTTTGCTACACTTTTGTAAACGCATGTAAAAACCATGTTAAAACATAATTTTTTCTACAGTTACATACTTAAATGAAACGCTATTGAAGAAAGTATTAGCACGGTTTCTTTTAATGTCATTGAAACTGCGTTTAAAATTTTAGTAACTTATTTTTTTTATATTATATATTTTTTTATTACATTACTTGGTCTTTTATTTTATCTCAGAAAGTAGATTCTTAACATATTTGAAAAATTTTTTAACAATCTCATTAATAAAGGCAAGCCTATAATTTCATCACCAATAAATGGATCTGATCTCCCAAGGGTAAAACAGATATAATTGCAAAAAACTTTTTCTCTATTTTTATCTCTTGAATCTGCCTCCAAGAATTTCTAACAATGGATTAATTAAAGAAAGTTAAATAAAGAAATCTATTGTTAGAAATTCTAGTTACTCCTATTTCTGTTGTTAAAGTTTTTTTCCACTTATGTTCTTCTACAGTATATGGTCCATTCAAAATTTCTGTCTCAATCCTGGTTCCACAGTAGAAAGTTTCTACTGTAGAACCAGGTAAGCAAAGGATATTACTTTTGACATATCAAAAGCTTTTGATAAAGTCAAGCATGCTGTTTTTTTCCATAAATTTGCTTCATATGGTGTATCTGGGGAGGTTTTTAAAATTACAAGAGAAGAAAAAATAATGCGCTAAATGTGAAAATCACACTTTTTATGGTATCACATAGATTTAGGCCATGTATGGTTATGGTATTAATTATACTTAAGTGGCATAAGTATTAAAGCCACATGTGTGCTATATGTGGCTACCATTAAAAAGTGTATCAAAATATATAGCCACATATAGCCCACATTTACTCCATCACTATCATTTAATGAAACATATGGAGCACAAGAAATTTTCATGTCAAGCTTGCATCATTCCTTACTAGCTACAGTATTAAAGTTATTTATGATGGAAAACACTCCTCTTTAATTCCAGTATGGAAGTTCTTATCTATATTAATTAACTTGATAACTTGATTGAACTTCTAGAGTATCACATGATTCTAACCCGTTTTTATGCCATTAATCTTCCAGTTAACCTTACCTCTAAAGTAGCTCTATTTTCTGATGAAACAATTTTATACTCCAGTCTTGGCAAAAAATAATCTTTTAGATGGCTTTGTACAAACAGTTTATCTTAAATCTGATTTCTCTTCTGTAGTTTTAGCTAGTTTTAGTCCAAACAAAGCTAGTTTTAGTCCAAACAAAACCTTGTTGTTTACTGCTTATAATTATTATATTATTTTTAATGTTTTGATATTGATAGTGATGACGCTCTTACTAAGTTTTCTGTTTTCTTGTATTATTATTTGCTATTGACCTCTCATGGAAACCGTATATACATTCTATTGCAATGTCAACATCTGCTAAAGTTGTCTCTCTAAATCGAGCTTGCTATTTTTTTACTACTGATTCCACTTTTTTTTTTCACAACTGATTCCACTACTAATTCACACTGATTCTCAACCTTTACAAATCTCTTGTATGTACTTTCTTATTTTGAAAGTTCTATATTTCTTGAAATATTGTTTTTATATTAAGGTTAGCTCTTATAATAAGGTCCTCCCTCTTTAGGCAAAGTCTTTAGCCAAAATTACATTGTAAATGTAAATTTACCTCCTCTAACTGCAAAGCATAAGCCACTGTCACATCTCCAAAATTTTTCCAACTTATCAAAGTTTTGTTTTCCGTTGTGGATGTTACTGCAACTTAATTAATGCAAAGTCAAGTATATCTACATTAGTATTTTTAAATTTCATAATCTGCTTAAAGTAATCCAACTTACCTAAAACCTTCCAATTTTTTTTAAACAATATATTTGTATCATTATATTATCTATTAACCAATAGTTAGCCTGTCTACTATGCATTCCAAAGTTAAATTTTTTGATGAATTATAATTTGGTCTATAGTAATTTAAAATAAAGGTAAAAATGTTTTAAATATTAGAGCACCATTTAATAATAGTTTTTTCATATATATAATGTTTTTTAATTGTAATAAAAAATTATAAGTGTGTAAATAATATTGTAAAATTAATGTAAAATTATAAGTGTATAAATAGTATTGTTAATTATTATAAAAACTCTAATAATTTTTATACTAATAAATATTTTTTCTAATAATTTGTTATACTAATAAAAGTTTTTTGAATTTTTTTTTGTTATTTAGATGAATATTGTGAGTGTTTAACACCCCGAGGATGTTTTATGGGAGAAAAAGGCACCAGGTACATATTTAAAACTAGTTATTGTTTTTACTCAAATTTGGTATGTTTTTTAAAAGAGATTTTTAAACAAACTAAATCTATAAAAGTGTTTAAAAAGAACATTCATCAATACTTTTAAATCATTAAAACTGATTTTTAGCACATTTTAAATAGATAAAAAGTGGGCACCAGATATTGTGTGCTGTATTTGCAAAGAGAGTCTTTGAGCTTGGACAAAAAGAAAAAGAAAAAATCAACCTTTTGGAGTTACCAATGTGTGGAGAGAACCACTAAACCATGTTGACTAGTTTATGTCCTCTCAGGGCGAATTTTAAATTAGTAAAATCTGTTTTTAATTTGCTTTTTGTAAAAGTATTCAAAATAAAAATTTATTTTGAATACTTTTACAAAAACGAAATTAAATTTAAAAAAATATTTAGATGTTTTGTATAGTGTATGGAAAATTATTGATATTTATTTTTTAATTTTAAATGTTAGTATATTATATCAAATTATCAGTATATTATTTTAAATCAATCAAAATAAAAATTTATCTGATATTGTGTTAGTTACACAAAAGCATTATGACAATTATTTTTACATAATTTAAACATTGAGCTTTGAAGAACACAGGTATATATATATTAGTGTTTTACAGAAAGATGTGTGATCGCACTCAGTTATATAACCATGCAAAAAATAACATGTTTTGATGATTTGATCACAGCTTTTGAAAAATTTTCAAAATTTAAAAATGTGATATCAAAACATACCTAAACTTAATTAAAAAAAAACTTTGAAATAGAAAAAAAATATCTTAACAAAAAATAAAAATAAAACTTGACTAAAGCAAAAACACACACACAGATAAATATATATATATATATATATATATATATATATATATATATATATATATATATATATATATATAATATATAATATATGTATATATATATATATATATATATATATATATATATATATATATATATATATATAATAAATATATATATATATAATATATATATATATATATATATATATATATATATGTAATATGTTTATATATATTATATATATATATATATATATATATATATATATATATATATATATATATATATATATATATATATATATATATATATATATATATATATATATATATATATATATATATATATATATATATATATATATATATATATATATATATATATATATATATATATATATATATATATATATATATATATATATATATATATATATATATATATATATATATATATATATATATATATATATATATATATATATATAACCTAACTAGAACAAAATCATCAAACTGAAGTGCTTAGTTTATTTAATTTATGCATTAAATAACCATTTCATTTTTTGTTTTAACATTTGTACTTTTTTTTTTGAATATGTTTGAAAAGATAAACATTTTAAAAAACAAATAAAATCCTTACTTTATTAAAAAGTGTTTTGATAATAAAAAAATATTTAAGATCAAATTTATTTAATTGTATCGACTTTCTAAAACATTTGTCTTTTTTTTTTTCAACGAAGTTTTATTTATCTTTTTCAATTCGTTAAAAAGGCTTTTTTTATAAAAAATGCACTCTTGTACAATTTTATAATAAATTAAAAAAAATATATATAAATGTCGATAATATTTAAAAAAAACCATTATTAGTAAATTTTTACTTTATTTAAAAGTGTTTTGCTAATATAAAAACATTTGTTAAGAAGTTTTGATGCAATTTATTTCACTTAAGGTATAGTTCAGAATATTTTTCATTCAGCTCATTTAAAAAATTTTTCTGAAATAGTTGTGATCAAAATGTAATTTGCCTGGTCATATAAAGACATGCCATTGCACGTTTTCCTGTGAAAGACTGATACATAATACAATTCAGTAAATACTGTCAGGGTTGTATTTTCATAGATGTAACAACAAAAAATGAAAAGTTTTATTTGTGAGCAAAATAAAGTACGTAACTTAAAAATATTTTCAATTATAAGCAAAAATAATAGAAAAAATAACATGGAAAAAAAATTAATGATATTGTAATATTATACCTAAAAAAATTAATAAAAAGTCAAACACACAACGCATAAAATAGTTAAAACAAAATAATAAATAATATACGATAATAAATTTTATGCATATTACTTAAATAAATATTTTGTGCTTTTAACATAAATTTAGTAATATAATTTACTTGAATATAATTGTAATGATATAATTTTTTTTTTTTTAAATTAATCTTTATTAAATTCAACAAGAAACAATTAGATAAGTGGTATTATTGTTAAAATAAAAAATGTCCAGAGCTTAGAGATTAAAAAATTTTAGAGAAAAACAAAAAGCAAAGAATACTACTTTTTAACATTATAGCAATTTGCAATATAGAAAAAGATAAAGAATCTGAGATAATTGAAAGTTGCAAAAATAAACAGCACAGAAAATACAAAAAAAACATATAAGTAGACAAAAAATTAAAGACCAATTAAATAAATCTATAATTTCAAGTTTGAACTGCCAAAATCTCCATCTAAACTAAATGTTTTTGTACAAAGTTTGGCAAATAATATCAACTTTATTTTTAAAAATAAAACTAAAAAAGAAAACAAGTTATCAAGTAATATTAACAAACAGAATAAGTTAGTAATTGATTTTTATTACAGAACAGACTTTTATAATGTCTGGCCTAATAGATGAAATAGCAGTGTGCGAAAATGGAAAAAAGAAGCAGAAAATTTTGACAATATTTTCTAGAGAGAATCACTCTTTTTTCATTGAACTTATGTAGAGGTTTTTTTCTACATTTTGTAAGCTGAGGCCTAAAAATATACTACTTTTAGAAAAAAATACTTGCAGACCAGTGTAAGTGCGAACTGCACAAATATTTTTGCTTATTACTTAAAGCATTATGCATCAACTATAATAGTTCATTGTGGTTAATTAGCCACTTTTGGTCAAAGTCACTTTTTTAATCTTGTTAGCTTGGCAGCTCGCCCTATAAAAATGCCAATGAACCAAAAGTGACTCTAGGCGTCTTAAAAAATAATAAAAAATGGGAACAAAGGAGAAGTAATAGAGGAGCTACTTTTTACTTTATCTAAACTTCATGTTTGTATAAAAAGAGTTCAAGCAGTTGAGTTTCAAATAGATTGCAGGAAATATAATTCTTATGTATATAAATATGTTTGCAGATATCAAAATGAAATATGTATATATATGTATAATAGAATACGTAATATATATTACATATGAATATGAAATATTGTAAATATAATATTTTTATTATGCACTGTAGAGTAAAAATACTGTTCAGTTATTAAGGTACTGTTTTCAACAACAATAATTGCAAAAAATATCTCAGCACTAAAAACAAGGGCAAAGATAGTGTTTACTACTTTATTGGGAAATTATATGAACTACTCTGAAAGCTATAATACTGATACTGAAACACTGTTCATTGATTGCCCATCAAAGTTTAAAAATAACTTTATGAAAAAATCACTCAACCAATTATTTTTGAAAAATAATGAAATATAAAAAATAGAAATATTTTGCTAATTAGATAGTGATAAAGATAGTGTTAAAGGAAGAGCTTATGTCTAAAAGAAATGTATGAGCAAGAATGAGAAAGTGTGTATACAAACACCTATGAAAAATTTTTTTAGTTTTCTGAAACCGTTTACTATATAGAAACATTTACTATAGACAGTTACTAACACTTTCTATATTAGCAACGATGATATCAGTTGTAAAATAAGCAACCAAAAACCTTGGTTTGAATTAAAAAAACACTGGGAATACAAAAACTTCATCATGCCAATGCTTCCAATGAATGGTTATCGTTTTTTAAAACAAATAACAGTCATCTGATTTTCAAATAAACTACATTACTGACATATAAGTTCCCAAAATGAGTACCCAATTGCCAGAAATGGCTATTCATTATTGATGACTTTTGCAGAACAATAAAAATATGTACCCTGACAAATTAAAGCTTAAAAAGTTGAAACTCTTAGATAGATGTGTTACTCGGTTCAATCTTTATTTTAGTTATGTTTATAAAGTAAAAATTAAGAAAAATCATGAAGCTAATTATAGTCAAAAATGTAGAAAATATTTATATTAAAGTTTAAAATTCAAATTTATAGTTTTGTACATGTCACACAAGTTTTGCAACTAATCAGATCGTTTACTAACACATGCAATAAACATATTATTAAGAAAAATATTATTTTATATCAGGTACATTTCCCACTATAATAATTGCAATATATATCTTGCATATCTGTAGTAAACTATTTTTATACCCCCCTTATATTGGAAAATGTTTGTATCAGAGTGACACCTGTAATACTAGAATCGCCTCTCTATATTTTTATATGGTTATTTAATTATTCTTTAGAACAATCAGATCTGGTTTCTCTACCTGTAATATGAAAGAGTATATGAAAATGAATTATAGTTGTCTTGAAGATGCTCCTACATATGTATGTATTTTTAATTTTATAAAATTAGAGTTTAAACTTACGGTTTAAACTGCTATAACAAAACATAATACACAAATAAAAATATAATGATTGTAACATACAATTATATATAGGAAGTTTTATGAGATTTAAAAATTTAACTTTATTAGGCTTTTATTTTTATGGTTTTATAGAAAATATATTCTAAAAAAATATTTAATCAGGCAAGTAAGACTCTTTTGTTGTAGTACGAAAACTTTTTTCAGAACCCAGCTAAGAATCACATCTTGTATTGCTCAGTGATCACACATCAGACATCAATTGTTTAGCTTAAACATGATAGTTTTACAAATTTTTTTTTCAATATTTTGTTAAACAATTATTTTGGTAAGTTTAAAAACTGACCATTTATTATTTTTTTTATTCATAATTTAATGATTGTAAATAAGAAGGCTTGTTTATTGGAGTGTACTGGAGTGTACTTATTTAAGAAATATTTTGCAGGGTTGCAGCAATAATTTGGCTACTTGGAGCTTTGAGGCTAGTTTATAATTTAAAGGCGAGTCAAAACTTGTGTTTAAATTACAAATTATTTATAAAATAAGTAAATTAAAAATTTTTTAAATGCTTTGGTAGTTGTGTGCGAAATTCTATTTAGCAGAGGTTGAATATTAGTACCCCAAGCGGGTATTCTAAATAATATTTAGAGTATCTGCTTGAAATATGACTAATTACAATTGGTATAAAATGTTTGAAAAACATTTAGAACTAGACTTGAAAAGAAATAATGAACTTTCCATGACCAGCATAATAAGAATCATGGTAAGTCCATACCTAACATTTCTGTACTTATTCATTTTATATATAAAAAAAAATTTGACAGTTTTATTTTCTATAAGTAGAGAATAAAAATTTGTCAAATCTTTGTTGTGAGTTAACAATTAATGTTAATTAATTAAACTTCTTATTGTAAAATCGTAAACTTTTATAAATGAATAATAAATGGGCACAGACTTATATACTTTTTTCTTCATTAAGTTTCTATTAAGTCAATCCAGAGCTTAATCCATTCACAGCTTATTAGTACCTTTGCCCTGTTAATAAATTTTGAAGAAAATAAATGAAGATCACGGGGGGAAAAGGGCACATGTAACATTTTTTAATTATTTGAGTTATACTATTATATAAACATAAGCCTGAAGATTAGCAAAATAGTAAAATCCAACCCAAAAAGGCTTATATAATGCTACAGAAACACTCAAAGAAAATGCATACAGGGGAAACTTTCGAAGACAAAATTTCATTTATTTTAAAAGTAAAAAAGTGTGACATGTGCCTTTTTTTTATCATTTTGTTGTTATCATTTTGGTTATCATATATTGTACTTTGAGCAAATCTCTCCATTTCAAAATGATTTAAAATTATCTTTTTTTATATTAAGTTTATTTACAAAAAACATTTTTGAGCTTTCGAAAATATTCTTGTTCAGCTGCATTTAACTTCATTTTAGATAATTGTGTTTCAAATAATAAAGTGTATATTTTATAGAATGGTAAATTAAAATGTAAAAATTTTAATGCTAAAATAATTAAATTCAGATTTGTCCAATAACTTACGCATTATAAGTTATGTTTTTTTTAAATATATTATCAGTACTTTAATTAATATTACTTTTTAATTATATTTAATTAATTAAAAATACTTATTTAATTTTTTTTTTTTAGTTTTTTAATTTTATGGGAAAAGTCGGTTTTTGGTTTATTTAATTTTAATGTAGGCAATAAGAAAAGTATGTGGCAATGGAATTCGAGAAGAAGGTGAAGAATGCGATTGTGGAACATTAGAGGTTTTGATAATAATTTTGTTTAAAAATCTTTTATGTTTAAAAAAAAAAACATATTCTTATGCAGTAATCCTTTGTCCCTTAAAGGTTTAGTAATTTAATCAAAATGATTGGTAATCATCATTAGATTTTTTATAATGTGTAGATTATGATTTAAAATGTGTGGATTATGATTTGTTAGAAAAATGTCAAGATCATTTTTTTTTCTGAATTTTTCGATTTTTGGAAATTACAACTTAATATTACAACTACTTGACTAAAACTACTTCTTAAATAAAATTCAATTAACAAAATAATATTCAATAATATGTTTTTGTTGATGCTTTTAGTTTCTTCAAAAATTAAAGTCGTCAAAATATTTTTTTTCAAAAAAACTCTGCTTATGTTCTTCTTTATTTAATGAAAGAAATAAAATTTCTATTTTTCCTTCGTATTTGTTTAAATTTACACAATTATTATTCTATAAGATAATTAAAAATTTTTTTTTGATTTTCAAATAAGTTACAAGCAACATTTACACAGGTTAACAAAAAATTTACTGCATTAATGTTGACACTTTCTTTTGCATATTCTTAATACGCTGAGTTAAGATATGACTACAGATATTTAGGGTAAGCTACAGGTTTTTTGGAAAAACAATTTTTTAATATTCAAAGTTTAGGTAGTTGACAAAATTTTCAAGATATTTCTTTAAAGCAGATTTGAATTCATTTATAAATGTTAAGGTTTAGTTCAAATGATTTAAATTTTTCTAAAATTTAAAATAAAAACAGCTGAATGTTTTATGGAAAAGTGGATTTTTTTTGTTTTAAACAAAAATCTAACTTGTGCCAGTGTGGAAATAAAGACCCTAGGCTGATGATGATAATAATGATGGTGTACTAAATTAAGACTTTTCCTTGAGTATTAAAATATATAAAAATTTTCAATTCCTTATAGTAATTTAATGTAAAAAATAAACATATTAATATCATTAATTTTTTTTATATATAATACTATTAAAATTTTTGTTGATTTATAAAAAAAATATGTAAATTTTTGTTTAAATGATATTGCAGATAATACTATTTAATAAAGAATATATAGTTTATTTCTCTTTTTTTTATAAACTTTTCCTATGTCATCTTGATTGATGCTTCAACAGTAGTCTGTCATCATATGTTTATCATAATGTCTTTGGTAACAATCTTAAATTGGAATGGATTTGCTCTTCTTTTTCTTCATTCACATCTCTTAGATTTTCAAAAAACTGGTCAAGAAGACTATTTAAATAACGAAGTTTTAAACTATTTTTACATCCTATCCATTTTACAAATATTTTTCACATTATCTTTATCATACAAAAGATCACTGGCTTTTAACACTTTATCAATTAAATCTGTATAGTTTCAACTTTTATTTCTAAAAATCTTTGTTACAGCATCCAAAAACAACAATCATGTATTTTCTCTTAGTTTTGCATTTTTTTAACATTTAACAGAAGCGGGTTTGTGACCAATCAAAAACTCCAGCTTTTTTTACTTTATGATAAACTAGGTAACATTAAAGTTTAAAATAGAGTGATAGAAAAACTATTTTGTTTCTGCTAACAATAGGTTCATTTACAATATTTGGCATGCCCACAGTGAGAGTACTGCAAATTGGTCAATCCTTTTTTATTTAATGTTACTTTCTCGCTTGTCTATTTCACATGCATAGATAACATGGAAGTTAAGTAAAACCTTTCTGTTGACCAAAAAGAAAGTTAACCATTTTTAGATTTACACAAATAATCCAGTTGTGTTCTGGATATTTAATCAATTTAAGCACCATTTTAATGTCATGGTAAGTCTCTTGCAAAAAATCAGAATGACAGATTGGTAAATAGCTAAAAATATTACCATTGTTCAAAAGGCAATATTTTTAAGGTTTCGCTTTAAGATAAACAGTTTCCATTCTTCTGGATTATAGAAAACAAACAAATGTACTTCTGAAAAAAGTTAAAAAATGTTTCCTTGTAAACTTTTGCAAAGCTGTCCAGAAGGTTTTTTCCTTTAATAGTTTTTCTTGCTTAAAAATCATGCATCAAGTCATTTAGCTCTAAATGACTAAAACACTAAGGCAATTTTAAAAGTTTTGCACTTAAGAAGACTTCCAAATCTGGTATAAATTCTTCTGTTTCTGTAGCAGACATACTTTATTCATCATCTGACAAAAATAAACCTTTAAAAATTGGAATTTGAATCTTTTCAAAATGTTGAATTTGTCTAACAGCAGAAGAAATGTTGGGGATGGCTATTTTTTGACGCTTTATTTTTCCTATACCAGAGTTATTGATAAGAAAAAAATAGCAGTTGCCAATGTGGTTTAGCAGTTCTCTCTATACCATGTAGAAAGAATCGTTAAATAGTATTTTTTTTTCCCCCCTTTAATTCAATCTTGAAGACTCTCTTGCCAAATATGGCACACAGTATGTGGCGCACACTTTTTATCTTGATCACCAATAGGAATAGCACTTTTACTTTTACAAGCAAAAATTATTTGCATTTTTACTTTTATTTGCAAATATAACTTACTTTTAATGGTAAGTTGTGTAAAGTAATTTACTTTACTTTAATTTAAAAAAACAACACTTTACAAAGTAAAATTAAACTACATCTAATAACAACAAATTACTTTTGCGTATAAAAGTAACTAATTAGCAAAAACAGCTTACATAAAATTAATTTGAAAAAAATTGTTATTTATAATAACAAATAAAAGTTAATATTTTTCTTCGAAATTTTATACTTTATTTTGTAAGTAAGTAAAATGTAAGTTATATTATTTACTTTCTCAAATAACAGTCAATACATTTTGATTTAAGATAAATTTTTAGGTAGGTAGCATATTCAAACCCATTGCCTGTTTGAGGGCACTTCTGGGTAATACTTAAGGTAATACTCTAATTTATGTGGGCAGTCTTTGTTTTTTGGGGCATCGAGAAAAGATTTTTTTTGTTCACGTAATAGGGGCTGCTAAATAATCATTAATTTTTTTTTCTTTTTTTTTTGTTGTTGAGCAGAAATAGGTTAGTGGCTATAATGTAACTTTAGTGGGGAAGGGAGCATAATTTTTAAACTGTTCGCACTTTTTCTCCAGTTTTTTTTCTTTTTAATTTTCTTTTTCAATCAAGTATTTTGTTATAGTAATATGACACATTATAACATTTTTGGTATCTGCATGAATATCAATTGCTAAAAAGGTTTTAAAAAATTATAAGTCATTTAAACTATCTGATATAACTTATATCATTAAAGAAGTGTTTATCTATCTTTTTATGTTTATATAATCTTTTATTGCATTTTATCATATATATTCTATAATAGGTTAGTGGCCCTGATAAAAGTTTACTGTCAAGGAGCTGGGTTTATTTGCAGCTATGCTGCTGATTTTTGCTTCTCTTATTCAGCGTGGTCGTTGTCAGGGTCAATCCGAAGAGGTCTGGGGTAAGGGGGTTTTGTATGTGTTTTTTTGCCAACTAGAGACACACACACACAAAAAAAAGGTATTCAATATTTGACATTTACTAACTATACTTCAAAACTTGCCGACTGAAATGCTAAATGTACAAATGTGCTAACCCAAATGCATATACAACAGCTTGGGGGGAAGATATACCCCTACACCCCCATTTGGGATGACCCTGGTCGACTCTGGTCAAACCTAGTCGTAATAACCACTAACAGAAATGAAATTTTTGTTTGTTTATTTATTAATAGCTATTAATGTCTGGAATGAACTAATTTTAATTAGTCTATTCCAGACAATTAATCCAGTTAGTCATTACTAGAAGTAGTTTTCGTTTTGTTTAGATTGGTTTTTAATAACAATCATGCTGAATAAAAGAAGCCAAAATACTAAACTTAGAATAAAATTGCAAAATGCAAAGCCATTTCCAAAGCAAGAACAATAAACCAGATAGTCTTTTAAAAAAAACTTTTAAATAATTGATGCAAATAACATCAAGATTATTTAAAAAGTTGAAAGTTGTAAAAAGTTGTAAAAGTAATAAACTTAAAAAAATATATAACTTTTCATAACCACAACAGTCACTTATTTTAATTTATTTAATAATATAGCGAATTTAGTAGGGTGGTTCAAAAAATCACTTTTAAATTTAAAGTTATATGATCGATTGTAAAGAAAAGTGTCTTGATATTATTTCATCATATAGATGGAATAAAGTTCTTTTTCAGTATATTTTTTTTACTTTTTTTACTTCAAAAAAATTAACAAAAATGCAAATCTTTTTGTTTTTGATTGAGAATTTAAATTTATGTAATGACATGGAGTAAACACAAAATATTTATATTTTCATGTTTATTTAAAGCATTTCAAAAGTATTGCAATAATCAGAGTATGTTAACAATAAACCCCTGAAATGTTTACCTTCCTTTACATTTTTTTTTTTTTTTAAACATCTTCGCTTCCAACAAGGCTGCAAGCAACCACTAACTAGAGTTGGAAGTTACAGGAAGAGAAAAGGTGAAGATTATAGAGCAAGAAAACGATTGACAGACAACTTAAAAGATTGCAAATTATAAGAATCAGGAAAGCAAGATGAAGGAAGCGAATTCCAAAGAACTGATGTTTGAAGAAAAAAACTTGTGGAATAAGAGTTTTTGGAGCACTTAGGAACAGTCACAGAAAAAGGAATATCCGCCCCAGATATGGCAACAGTATTCCATACAACGCCCGATTTGAGATTTATAGAGATAGAGAAATCTATAATGGAATCAGATGTAAGAAAGTCTTGAGCTCAAGAAAGAGACGCAACTTTAGCAGATGCTAATTTTGCAAAAGGATATGATATATGGTTTCCAAGAAAGATCAGAAGTAAGAGTTAATCCTAGAATATGAAAGGTAGATGATTCATCAAGTACATTACCATTCATAAATATAGGAAGGTCTAAATTATTGCGATAATGATTGCCTGAAAAAAAATTGAGTTTTATCTGAATTAAAGTTCACCAGCCACTGTGAGCCCTATGCTGTAGCAGAAGTGAGATCCTTTTCAAGTTCAAATAACCCCTACAAGCAATCAGAGAGTGTTGACAGCTTATCATGACAAGAATAAATGGTAGTATCATCAGCGAACAATGCCACCTTAGATGTAAGAATATCTGGATTGTTAATGTAATCGTTAATAAAAGGCATATACCCATTTTCTAATATCTTCTGGTCTTTAATTTATTATTTTATTCATAATAGTATAAAAAATAAAAATTCAATAAATATTTAAAAACTAGAATAAAAATAAGCCAGTTTATTAGATAAAAAAGGAATGTGAATCTGGTCAACAAATCACCTAAAATTCCTTCTAAAAGACAAATTCATTTTTATTAAAAAATGAATCTGTCTTGTAGAAGCCATCTCTAGCCTTTACTCAACCATGAGCCCCAAAACAGAATGTTATTAGAAGTCAGAGTAAATTGAGTAAATCTATAAAAAATAAGAGTAAATCTATAAAAGAACATTTTGTTACAAAACAGTTTCTAATGCTTTTAAGGGCACTTATTACAATATCAATAATCACAATAAGACTCATAAGTCTTGATGGCAGTTATAACAGTCTCAAAAGAATTGGTAGGCAATTAACGCTTGGCTCTATACTAAAATTGTATGCCAATAATTAAAATAATAAAACATTTTGTTAAGTTTCATGCTCTGAAATTCTTCACTGGGAATTTGTATTTCGAAGTTCTACACAGGTTATTAGTATTTTTTTTAGGTAGGTTGTTGGTATTTTTCTTAAATATAAACATTATTTAATTATCATATTAAATTAAAAAATTAAATATAAATATATTTATAGTAAGTATTGCTAATAATGCTGAAGTCCAAAGTCGAGTCACACAACCTAAAGGGGTTTGATGGTAAATTGTATTTTAGATCTTTGAAACAGATATTTAGCATTAAATGCAGATCCAACTCATAAAACTTGATACATTTTATGAAGATTGCATACTCACATCTAATAATGTGTTTGTTTGTATTTGATCTTTTGATTCAATGTAGTTTTTGCACATGGCTGGTTTTTTATACTTAATTTATATACTTGTCGGCCCTGCTTATTAAGTCTTACTGTAAACTCTATTTCAAGTAGCCCATGCGCTTTTTCAAATAAGCTTATTCAAAATATTGAGAAGCTGTTTGCATCAGATACTTACAAAATTTTGATCAATGCAATTATTACAGTAAGTTTTTTGGTTATTGTTTTTTCTTTTATTGTTTGGAAGTTTATATCAACTGAATTAGGTGAAAGCATCGACTATTATCTTTTTTTACTTATTGGCATTGACTAAAATCTTTTTTTACTACTACTATTTTTTCTCAACTTTTTTAAAAAAATCCCACTGAAATATGTTAAATTCAAAAAAAAATTTATGATTATAAAAAACAGATACTAGAAATTTATTTAACAAGCAAAATAGATTCTTTTACTTTACTGCTTAACAATAAATATATATAAATATATTTATTGTTATTCAAAATGTAGGCAAAACTAAAGTAAATTAAAATTAATAGAAATATTGTCTTCTGAACTTAATTTTTAAAGTTTTTTTGTATGGACTTAAAGTTTATTTACTCAATGTATTTTTAATATTTGCTTTTAATTTTTAGATGTGTAAAAAAAAGGGTGATTATTGTTGCGAGCCACATAACTGTGTTTTGAAAGCCAGCGCACAATGCAGTTATTTAGATAATCCTAAATGCTGTCGATCATCCTGTTTGGTAGTTACTTTTTTTAATAAATTTTTTTCCTGGTTATTTATACAAAATAATTCATTTAGTGACTGTAACATTAAAATTTAAAAAAAAATTGAAAATAAGAAAAATGAAAGAGAAAATATGCATATTTAAAATCTTTCTTTGTATAAGAAAAAATTGGATTTATATATGCATTATATCTAGAATATATATATATATATATATATATATATATATATATATATATATATATATATATATATATATATATATATATATATATATATATATATATATATACATGTATATATATATATATATATATATATATATATATATGTTATTAAGTGTTAGTAAGTTATATATATATATATTTATATATATACATTTATATTTATGTATATTTATATCTATTTATATATATATATATATATATATATATATATATATATATATATATATATATATATATATATATATATATATATATATATATATATATATATATATATATATATATAAATAGATATAAATATATATAAATATAAATGTATATATATAAATATATATATATATAACTTACTAACACTTAATAACATATATATATATATATATATATATATATATATATATATATATATATATATATATATATATATATATATATATATATATATATATATATATATATATATATATATATATATATATATATATATATATATATATATGTTATTAAGTGTTAGTAAGTTATATATATATATTTATATATATACATTTATATTTATATATATTTATATCTATTTATATATATATATATATATATATATATATATATATATATATATATATATATATATATATATATATATATATATATATATATATATATATATATATATTTATATATATAAATCAATGAAAACTTCTTGCAACATTTTGAAGACAAAAGAATGTATGAAAATTTGTTTTTTCAAAATTTAAAATTCGAACAATTTTAAAATTTTCATTCAGGATAAAATATTCAAAAAAAAGTATTTATTTAAAAAGTATGAAAGTTTTATAAAAAGAAGTATATAAATAATATAAATGTCATTATTAATCATTGTGAAACGTTATAACTTTATATTGTTCCAGAGTTAATTTTTAAATATGCTCTTATTACAAAATTTTTATTGCTATTATTACAAAATTTTTTATGCTATTATTACAAAATTTTTTATGCAATTATTACAAAAGTGAGATTATTTTAAATCAAGAGCAGTTTTAATTTGATCAATAAAATAATTTAAGGTACCAAGTACCAAGTTAAGGTACCAAGTTAAGGTACAAATAAGTTAAGGTACCAAGTTTACAATTTAAGGTACCAAGTACCAAGTTAAGGTACCAAGTTAAGGTACAAATAAGTTAAGGTACCAAGTTTACAATTTAAGGTACCAAGTACCAAGTTAAGGTACCAAGTACCAAGTTAAGGTACCAAGTTAAGGTACAAATAAGTTAAGGTACCAAGTACCAATTTAAGTACCAATTTAAGTACCAAGTACCTCAATTTAAGGTACCAAGTACCAAGTTAAGGTACCAAGTTAAGGTACAAATAAGTTAAGGTACCAAGTTTACCTTAAGGTACTTGAGAAATAAAATTTTGATCTTTATAGTTGTCATATTTAGTATTTACTTAAAGTAGTGTAATGATTTTAATAATTCTTCTTCTATGTCTTTAAAAAGAAAAAAGTGGATTAATAATGCCCCTTCATAGAGCTTGTTTGTCAGATTCTTTGCTTAAAATATTAATGTTTCTTAAATGCAAGAAAGACTTGTAGACTATAATAGTTCATTTGGCAACTTGTATTTAATGCTAAAAAATAATATTAACATCTTATATTTTTAAATTTTAACGTATTTTTGTTTTTGGCTTTACTATATATCTATTTTCTAATATATTTTCTTATTGATAATATATACGCATAACCTTGATTTAATTTTGAAACATGCGGATTTGTTGTTTGCAGCTCGAAATTCAAGTCCTACCCCATGAAATATTTGGATGTGTCTTTTACCTTGTCCTTTGCTTTGAAATTCTTGTCCTTGGCCTGGACCTTGGCCTTGGATCATTTGGCCTTGTCTTTGGAGCATGTGTTTTTGTAATAAAAAAAACAGCTGTTTTACTATTACTGTTAAACAGTGTTCAGAAACCCTATTTAGGACAATACAAATAACTGTTGTTTTTCTTAAATAGTTATTGTTTTTATGTGTAAAAGATCATGTTGTTTTGCAAATGGTTTTGCAAGGCCAAAGCCAAGGTCAAGGCCAAATGTTTCAAGGCCTTGGTCTTGAAATATTTGGCCCTGACCTTGGCTTTGGCCTTGGAAAATGTGACCTTGGAGAATGTTGCCTTGGCCTTGCTATATTTGGCCTTGTTAACAACTCTGTTTGACCATACCCCAATTTTTTCCTTTGACAATTATATAGCCAGTTGCATAGGAAGGTTTAAAGATTTTTTCAGAAACTCTTTTTATATCGTATTGTTAAAAAATCTTTTTTTGAGTTTTTAGAACTTTTTAAAAGTTTTTAGAAGTTTTAAAAAAGATTCCAGTCTCTATAATTAAATCAATTTTAAACACTCCCACTTGAGTGGTTTCACACTTGCAACAGGCTTTTTCTAGTTTTGTTTCTTTTATACATGATATCAAAGAATGGGTAATTACTATTATAAATAAAATTAGTTACATAAACAATCCAATGGTTAACAATTACAATCCAAATTGACAAACAAAAATTTTGAAAATTGTACATGTCTGCAAAACAACATGATCCTTTACACATAAAAACAATAACAATTTAAGAAAAACAACATTTATTTGTATTGTGCTAAATAGGGTTTCTGAACACTGTTTAACAGTATTAGTAAAACAGCTGTTTCTTTCATTACAAAAAATCAAAAACAGAAAACAGTTTGGGACTGTTTTTAATATTTTTTCATTTTTTTTTTAAATTAAAATTAAAATTAAAAACTCAAATTTTTTCAATGTGTTCGTTGTATGATTAAATTATATTTCAATACTGTAATGAGTTTTAACTGTTTCATTCAAACCTGAAAATAATAGAATTTTATGATTCAAAAACTTTCAAACAAGTATTTCAAAAAAAAAAAAAAAAAAGTTGCTAAAACTAAAGTTTCTTTAACAACACATTTGCTAAAACAATTGAAAAATGGTAATTTGATTTTCTTTTTTAATAACTATTTATTATATAGTTTTTGAACAATAAGTTATGTAACACATAACTAAGCCCATGGGTTAGTACTAGCAAGCTTCATTTTATAATGGTTCTTTTTTGCTAATATAGTACTAAAAATTTCTTGAGTTATAAATAGGGTTTCTTGCACTAGTTTCTTATTTTAAAAAATTTTTAACTAAATAATATCTTAAAAATATAAATAATATAATAAATATAATATCTTATAAATATAACTAAAAAATATTTGCATAGTTAGCGGTTATAATAACCAAATAATTGCAACTTATTGGAATTTTTGACCTCTTTAAAAACTTTGTTTTACATAGGCTTGTCTTGAAGTTGAGAAACTTTATTTGAATTTGTTCTATATGTTTATTTTTAACTATTTTTTATGTTTTAATAGTTATTTTTAAAGTTTAAAAACAGCTTTTATTTAAATAAATTTCAATTTTGCTTTTGTAAATGACAACTAACTGCCGACCTAAAAATTTTTGACATTGGCAAAAAGTTTCTGACCAAGTTTCTATGTATTGTGGTAACCCCTATGTGGCAATTTTTTTTCTCAATTTGATATCTATTTTTAACAGTTTGAGGTCGTCATTTTAGTTGACCTCATTTTTCCTAATTCTCAGGGCTGTATGTATGTATATATATATATATATATATATATATATATATATATATATATATATATATATATATATATATATATATGTATATATATATATATATATATATATATATATATATATATATATATATATATATAATATATATATATTTATATATTTTTATATATATATATATATTTATATATATATATATATATATGTATATATATTTATATATATATACACATATATATATAAATATATATATATATATATATATATATATATATATATATATATATATATATATATATATGTATATATATTTATATATATATACACATATATATATAAATATATATATATATATATATATATATATATATATATATATATATATATATATATATATATATATATATATATATATATATATATATATATATATATATATATATATATATGCATGTATATCATAACTTATAAAAACAAATTTTTGGTTTTAGTACAGAAAACAAGGAACTTTATGTAGGGAAGCAGCCAATGAATGTGATTTACCAGAGTACTGTGAAGGAGACAAAGCAACTGTAAATACAATTTTTTCATATGATATTTATATTATCATTTAAATGTACATATGTATATAAAGATAGTAAAATAATACTGCTATGACATTTTAGTGTCCAAAAGATAGATACCTTCGTAATGGATATTCTTGCCAATCAACAAAGGTATTTACATCACTTTTATATCTTGATATTTGATTTGCAACTAAACTGGTTAAGCTATTTGTCAGGTTTTTTATTGAAAATTTTTTTGAATTTAAACTTTACAGTTTAGTGTAATTTTTTAAGAAATATACATTTTTTGCTAATTCAATTCATTATATTAATTAATTTTTGTTTGTTTTTAATTAAAAAATTAATCTGATTAATGTTCTTATATCAATTCTTTATAAGCAAAGAAACAAAAGTATACAACTCTCTGTTATTGTGTTAAATAAAAATGAGTTTTTAAATAATTTTTTTTTCTTTGATTTCATTTTTAACTTAATATAAGTAATTATTAGAAAAAATATTTACTGGAATTGATTGAATAGCAGTTAATGAACTTATAAGAACTGAAAAACTTATAAAACATTGAACTACCAACCTGTTTCATGAATTTATAATCATAAAAAATTTTTTTGCTTTTTATAGATATTATTTTTAAGAAGTTTATTTTTGATGATAGCTAATATCATTAGTGTTTTCTTTGTTATTCTTTTTTTGAGAATTTTGGTTGTTGTTGTTGTTAAGTATTTTTTTTCTTTCAAACAACATATTAATAATTTATATTAATAAACAGTATTGTAATTTTATACAACTTTACTTCAGCATATACATTAAAATGTGTCCTAGTCATGACATTAAACTGATTTTATATTGGAGTTAGTGAAGCTCAATAGTCATGGTAAAACAAAGTTACCTAGGAAAAAGAAAAATGATAAAGTATGTTTTAAAGTAATATGATTTAAATTTTGTGACAAACAACATGAAGAATAGTTATAAATAAAACCAAGTTCTATAAAATATTATAACTTTAATGATATCATTAAAGATTTAAGCACTGATCAGAGCTATACATACAATGATAAGATTGATATATGAGATTTATATGCATATAAGATGATAACATTGATAACATTGATGATAACATTAATTTGGTTCTGTTTGTTACATGACTAACTGCTGCTTTAAGTCTATACAGAATCCAGGAATCTAAGTATATAGTAACAGAAAAAAATTTAAATATGTTATAAATAAAGTTTTAAGGTCAACATTTTGATGAAATAAAGTAATCTGTTTTTTGTGATTGACTGTAGACACATTAACTGAGATTTTTCGATTTGTGCTTTTAGTCATTGACTATACACACATCAGCTGAAACTTTTTGCTATTGAAACACAAAGACAAACATCATAAAAGAAACCTAGACAAATAATTAATTAAATAGAATTTGTTATGTATTGAAATTTTAATGTAAACTATTTAAATAAATTATATTTTAGTTTTGCTTTGATAAAAAATGCAAGTCTGGTGCAAAACAGAGTTTTAAAAAATGTCCGATAATAAACAATAAAGAGTGTGCAGGAAATGGGGTAAATTATTTTTTTTTTTATAAGGTTCTATTTAAAAAGTAGTTCAGTAAGGTATACAGTAAATTTTTTATTTTGTAGGTTTGTGCATCAGATAACTCTTGTGTTTGCAACATTGGATATGACAATGCTGACAACTGTCAATCAGGTATGTTTTCTTTATGAAAAATTAATTTACGTTGTAATACAATATTTAAAAATATTTTACTGTTTAAAATTTTTTTGTGCAATTAGAGTGTTTTGAAAGATTATCTTTTAGCTTAGTTTTAGATTTGTTCAAAAAATACCTGAGTATGAAACAATATAGGGGTAAATTAATAAAAAATTTGCCATTATAACCTTTACTTTATATATACTTTATGTATTTAAAATCAAATTCGAAGTTTAAAAAGTGTATCGATAATATAAAATTCAATCAAACCTGCAAGAACATCAACAACAAATAATTTTGGTTGCTAAACTTTCTCTTTGCTTATTGTTGCTGTCTACGCAAATAAAACAAGTGATGGTACAATATAAAAGTCAATAAACAGTTACTAAACTTTGATCAAATATAAATGGGCTGTAGCGTTTTATATTACTATCAACTCTCAATGCATACATGTGTAATAAAAATTAGACGAGTGAAATTGATACCTTAAGTAAGTATACATTAGCTTCTGCTAAGGTTGCTTCTCTTTATCGTGCTCGCCATTTCCTTACTTCTGATTCCATTCTCTACCTCTACAAATCTCTTATTCGTCCCTGTATGGAATACTGTTGTCATATTTGGGCTGGTTCTTCTAACGATTCACTTTCTCTTCTTGACAAGGTCCAAAAACGCATTGTAAATGTTGTTGGACCTGGACTATCTGCTAAGCTTGAACCTCTTTCCCATCGTCGTAAAGTTGCATCTCTTTCTCTTTTCTACAGATACTATCATGGTACCTGCTCAAAGGAGTTATCATCTCTAGTTCCATCAACTAAAATTCATTCTCGTTTTACTTCAGCTAAGTCTCATTCGTTTACTGTATCTGTCCCTGCATGCTCTAAAAACTTTTATTCATCTAGTTTTTTTTCCCCGCACTTCAATCCTTTGGAACTCTCTCCCATCTTCATGTTTTCCAAACTCATACAACCTTCAACTTTTCAAGTCTTCTGTCAACCGTTTCCTTGCTCTATAACTCTGTTCTTTTTTTTTTTCCTAGTAACTCCCAACTTAATAGTGGTTGCTAGCAGCCTTGTTGGGAGTGAATGCAAATAAAAAAAAAAAAAAAAAAGTAATTTCTAATTTGATTATATAATATGTATTTTTCAAAGAAAGATGCGATTTGATGTTAAACTTTATCATAGTATTTAGTTAACTAAATAGTTTTTTTTACTATTCTCAAGTTAATATGGTTTAAATTATCATATATATATATATATATATATATATATATATATATATATATATATATATATATATATATATATATATATATATATATATATATATATATATATATATATATATATAAATATATATATATATATATATATATATATATATATATATATATATATATATATATATATATATATATATATATGTATATATATATGTATATATATATTTATATATATATATATATATATATATATATCGCTCTCGATTGCTGACCACGTAAATAATATTTAGTTGCAAAAAGCCAGATTTTTTAGTCGTTTTGAGAACATTTTAACAAGCAAAAAAAAAAAAGGCACTTAAGATTAATTGGACCGATAAGAGACAATTACAAAAATTTTTTTATAAAATTAGGCGATGTTTTTTATGTAAAGTAACATCTTACGATTGTTTAAAAAGGAAACAAATATTCTTTATTAAACAAAGTTTGCAAGTTTTAGTTTTATTTAAGCTAAATTATTTTATAAATAAAAAAGCTACTTTTTATTAATACCTATTTTATGTTTCGCGTAGTTTGAAAAGTTTAACATATTTGAAGCAATTCTTCTTAGTAAGATAAACAAATGAGATAATTAAATCATAGAAATTAAATTAACAATATAGAAATCAACTTAAGTTTAACAATACTTTATGACGAGGAAGCGAAATTGCTTCACAATATAGGTGATGTTTAGTGAGTGGGCTTTTTAATTTTAATTAGTATTTAAAGCAGAAAAAAGTATAACGAGTTTTTAGAATGGCAACTTAAGCGAAAATAATTAGAGTTAGTAAACCAATATCTAGTAACTTTTCTTTATATCTAATTATTTGCTATATATATTTGTGTTCTGTCATGATCTTAGGCGTGGTGCTTGTTCATCTGCGAGTTACTTTGTACGCGTTGTTTGTGTTTAGTAACTAGAAACTTCTTATGTTTGTTACGTAATTAGTTTTATTAACTATAACGATTATAACTTTATTGAAAACGCAATTATTTTTGTAAGTCTTTGTTTAAATTGTAAAAATTGCTTTAAAAGATACATTACGATGAAAAACAGTTAAACAAAATTAAATTTACATAAAGAATACATACTTTTTAAATAAAAAATAAGAATATACTAATAAAATCTATAATTTATAATAAACTTTTAACATTTTGACAATTTAATATATATTTAAAACTTTTATTTTTGTAAACAAATAATATATTTATTCTTAAAACAATTTATGCTAGAAATCTCAAAACGTAACAAATCGTTTCAAAAACATTTTTTAAAACATTTCAACAGAATACTCTAGAACTTTATTTCGCTAAGTCAGCGTATTTTTTGAACCAATAGAATTAGTTTCTTCGTTAATTTGGTGGGTTTTTAATGTTCGCGAATATTCTTTTTATTCTTTCGCACAAAGATGTTTTAAGAACATTTAAGTTTTCTATGTTTCCATGTATGTCCGTAAAACAAAATTTTTTGTTTCGTAAATAAACTTAAATATTCTCAAAACGACTAAAAAACCAATATATATATATATATATATGTATATATATATATATATATATACATATATACATATATATATATATATATATATGTGTATATATATATATATATATATATATATATATATATATATATATATATATATATATATATATATATATATATATATATATATATATATATATACGTAATATATATAATAAGCAAATAGATTGCATTCCGCTCACAACAATCTAAAAAGATAATTTAAAAAGAATTTCATTTTTTTCAACTTTTATTTTACTTTTTTCTCAGTATGTGTGGTGCTGGGTTGGAACTCCAAACCTATTTCTAATACTAAAAACTTTAAAGTTTTTGAAAGATATCGGCCACATTATTCTACTTTTAGTAGTTATGGGAAGCTAAGAATTTGCAATATTCTATCAGTATTTAATTGCATTAATCCAAATTAAATTCTAACTGTATCCTTGGCACTCAGAAAAAAAGTTAAAAAGTTTTAGGAGTGTTTGCTGACAAGAGAAGAAAGAATCAGCAAAGTTTATTTTGCAAGACAACATAAATATAAATTTTTACAAAAGTTAAAAACTAAAAAGTTTAACTGTTCTATTATTTATTGTTTATGCAAATATTATGTATTCATTCTTCAGACTTTTTGACAGATGAGCTATTTCTAGATTTCTACTCCACATTAATATAATTAATTAACCTGATTGGTTAACTATTAATAGATTTGACTTTCAAACCATTTTATAGTGGAAATTAATGCCTCTATCATTTAACCCAGATTATATTTTGAACAAGTTTTCTTATACCCAAGAAACATAAATGTTTTTAAATTTCTATAAAACAAAATACAAAAAAGAAGTTATCCATCAACAAATATTGTCAATGAATAAAACCTATATTTGGGGAAAAAAGTATTCAATTGAAATAATTTTGCAAGCATTTTGAGTATTTTTTCATGATTAGTCACACATCATCTTAAAAATTGTATTTGGTACACAACAGTTTTATATTTGGACACAACAGTTGGTAAACAGTTAACAAACCTCATTTATTAGCAAAGTTATTTAATTTAAATTTAAACAATATAAATTAGTATTTATAATACCGATTTATATTGTTGTAACACTGTTTACTGGACCATTTTTTCTCTACAAAATATTACTAGTTGCAGAACTTGATGCTGAGTTTTTATTTGAACAGAAAAATCTTATTTTTAAGGCAATAAAAATTGAATCTTGATTTAAGCTTGAGTCAAAGTAAACTGCTAAAATGTCTAAATGGTCTGTATATTCAAACCCAATTGAAAAGCTAAAGTTCTCACTTGTTTTCAAGTGTTTTGTAATTTGATTAACAAGTAATGTTCACAATTCATATGCAGTCATTTGTTTCAAAGATTGTAATCAATCTATTGCTTCTGCTTGTGATGAGAATTTAATTAAACTTTCTGCAATGATTTTGCACTGCAAATAACAAAAAACAAAGAAAAAAAGAAAAAATTTATAATTCATGACTAATTCTTTAGCTCAAATCTATTACCGTTCAGCTGTCAAAATATCCTTTGTGCACAACTCAACAGAATGTATTATTAGGCAGTTTTACAACAAATCCATAAGAAAAGCTATTTAGAAAATTATGGCAAGGCTCAGAAGGAACTTAATTCATTTCTTTTCAACAAGTTCTTGAATAAGTAACCATAATAGTACAAAGTTACTATTAAAAGTTGAGAAATCAACAACTTTCTACATTCTACTACATTCTTTATTGTAAAATGTATAATGACGCATACATGTCATTTTAACCACCTAGTGATGATATCAGAAAACTATTTAATTAACTATGTAATATGTAACTATGTAACAATGTAACATGTAACTGTAACATATAACTATGTAATTATGTAACATGTAACATGTAAATATGTAACTATGTAACAATGTAACAATGTAACATATAACTATGTAACTATGTAACAATGTAAATAATTTAACTTTTATTCTTTGTTCACACAAAAACAAACAGTATTGGTCAAACTCAACATAAATCAAAAAAATATTTACAATATTGAAGTAAAAAAGTTTAACTGTAAAAATTTTTTGTTTTTCAATACTTTTTGTTTTACAAAAATTTTTTTTGAATGTAAGAAAATGTCTTCTTTCTCAAAAAAAATTTTATTTATCCCAGTAATCAGTTATGTGATAAAAGTTGAAATTAAATTATACCATTAATTAATTTATACCATTGTAAATTTAAATAGTTAAATTATTGTAACAATAAAATAATTTATTTGTGAAATAAAAATAATTATAAATAAAAATATATTATTTAAAACGTTATAGTTAAAAAAATATTAGAAAAAAACAAATAGTTTTATTAATTTTGTTTAAAATTAAAAATTACTATTCGAACATATATCATAAAAAAATAAATTCAACAAAAAATCACTTTACTGAAGATGTAAGTTACTACTTAATTTACTAATTAATGTTATATTTTTAAATTTGCCTCCAGTTTTCCTCCAGTCATGCATTGACAAGGCCTGATATATAAGTATGCCATAAAATTGAAACAAATTCTATTTTTTCTATAAATTGTTTTTATAAATTTTAAAATAATTTTTTTATTATTTTATAAAATTTGGTACATTAGGTACATGGGTATTAAATTGTATATGTAAAAATTTAAATTGATTTCTGTTTTTATTTATGTAGAGTTAACAGCCATTGATGGTTCGTGGAGCAATTGGTCAGCTTTTACAAAGTGTTCCAAAGGTTGTGGTGGAGGTATTCAACAAAGATATCGTTTTTGCACCAATCCTGTACCCCAAAATAATGGAAACGACTGTATCGGAAAATCTATTGAAGAGGTATCCTGTAATAGTGAATCTTGTCCAGGTAATGATTAAAATTAATTTATATTGGTTATTTTATATTGGTTTGGGTTAGGTGTAGTTTTATCCACATAATGTTTAGATAAGTGTTGTATCCATATCCAAATATGGATATAGTACATGGATAC